GAGCATCATAACATTTTTAATTTCCTTTTTGTTCTTGCAAGTTGCATCACATGCCTTTCCTTCTATTTCTGATTTCCATGCTCAAAGCAGACCTATGCCTTTGTTCTTAGCTTTCTGGGAACTGACATAACTTCCACACAGCAAGGGACGTTCCCTCTGAGCTCACCAAAGCACACCTTTCCTGTCACCAGTTGAGGGGCTGCCCTCCTCGCCTTTCTCTAAGGCTGTAGTTTGTTATTGTGCTTCTCAGATGCTTTGAGAAAACCCAGCATTCCTGAATACTTTTAAATTTCATGCCCTTCAGTGTCATTGTGGATTGGCTTCCTTCTCTTCAAGACCCAAACTGACCTCACCAAAGTTTTGCCACTTCTCATAGGCCTCAGCTTTCTCAGCTCATCATAAAATACATTGGGGGTTCTTAGCCTAGGGGCCCACAGACTCCTAGGGGGCTTCTCAGAAGGACTCAAGTGTGAAAGTCTTGAAACTTTATGTAAAATTATGTGTGTGTCCCTCTTTTCTCCAAACTACTGGCCTACAGTCCTTGGCTGACCTCGGATTCTCATATGTTCTAGGATCCCCAAAAGGTACGAGTCACTGGAGTAGGTATTCTTTAAAGATTTTTTTAAATTCAGATATTCTAAGGGGATCTCTCATACCACTTACAGGAACTCTTGAAAACCAAGGCTGGATGCCTGTCAGCAAACAGTGCTTCTATCTTAGGGAAGCTCCGTAAATATTTGATGATGCTAATGATGGGGTATTTCCAAGATGACCTTCCCCTTTACTTTCTTGACTGTCCTAAAACTTGGCCAAAATGACACCCAACAAAACCCAAGACCTTGTTCGATAATTCTGAAGTTTTAGGCATTCTGTATGTGTTTGTGTGTATGTTTTTATTCCTCAAAATTAGATAAGTTATCCTTCAACCAGATGGTAACTATATTTATCACGAGGAGCATTTTAATAACATACATAACTGATGAATCACTAAGTTGTTCATCTGAAACCAATATAATATTGTACATAAATATTTCAATAAAAATGTTAAGAAAAAAAGGTTGTCCCTCAAAAAAAAAAAAAAGGAAAATTTTTCCTTTCTCAATTGTGAAGGTTTGCAGGTCTAGAATAAACCCCCTACTTCAAATTTTGTATTTGTCTTTTTATCCTTTCAACTGAAATTCACACAGGATATTTTTAGCTAATCATAGAATAGCAAAGTAAAAAGAAGTTTAGTTTTTTGTCTGAATCTTTTGTTTATGGTCAAGGAAGCTGCCAGAGAAGGGAAGTAATTCATCCAGAGACACACAGCAGGCCAACGGCACCGCTGCAGCTGGAGCCGGGGTATCTGACTTCAGTGCAGCGCTCTTCCCACCCATCCCTATTTCCCCTAAACACTCCTGCACTTCATTCACTCCTTCGGTTGTTCAGAGAAAATACACCTACAAACACAAGTGACCAAGCCAAGGTGATCTGAGAGCACAGAGGAGGGAAGATGTCAAGCCCTCTCACAAGAAGTGTCTGCACATCTGCAGAGCTGGGGGCGGTAGGGCGACCTGGACAGGCAACTAAAGGGAAGGAAAGCAGCACAGCAGGGACACAGCACCCGCAGGGAAGTGTGACCCCCCGTCGTGAGGTCACAGGACTATGAGGGGGCCGGGACACACTGTGAGGAGGTGCTAACCAGCAGCCACAGGCCGCACCAACAAGCCCTCCAAGCTCTGCTCCCAGCTGTGTCCAGCTTCCCCCTTCCAGCCACCTGCAGGCACTCCAAGCCTCACCCAAACCAGCTCACAATTCCCCAGGCCCCCCTTCATGTTCCCACCTCTGCGCCATGGCTGGGCTATTTGCTTGCCCTGAACGCTGCTGTCTTGCTGTTCACCTACCACAAAACTCCCTGTTCTTCAAGGTCTAGATCCAATGTTACCTTTCTCATGAAGTCTTTCCAGACTGCCACCTTCCCTCTCTTCTTGTTTATTATTTCTCTCCGCCTTGAGCTTTCAGAGTGAACTATTTATGACTCTCCTTCCCCATCGGCATTATAATTATTATATAAATATTATACTTCTTGTGAACATGTCTTATGCCCCTAATGAAGGCCACACACTCCTTTAGCTGGGTCATTTTTTATCTTTTCTTTTGCTCAACAAATATCTACTCAGCTCCTCCCACATATCAAATATCATGGTCCCTGGCCTCAGGGTGCTAATAATACTCTAATGGTAACACAATGAAGGATGAATACAATAGAGCTGAGACCAGCCCCTTCAGGTCAGGAATGTGTGTGTGGAGCACAAAGTCAGAGCATTCAATCCAGTCTTGCAAGGGTGGGGGAAACTGTCAGGAAAAGCCTTCCTGAAAGAAGTAACACCTGAGCGGAGAAGTGGACAGTCCGAATTGTCCAGGCAAACAAGCACAGGAGGGCTTGGAAGATGAGGCTGGCTTACTGTCTACACAGCCAGATCACACGCGGCCTTCTAAACCCCGGAGCAACGAGAAGCCCCTCATGATGTATATCCTTCTCTATCTCTTGCAGCATTTAGCACAGTGCCTGGAACATCCTAGATGCTTGAATGAAAGAGTAAATGATCACCACATTTCACAATGTCTTTTCACTCAAGACTTTTGGGTAAAATTCACTCTATTTACTGGTCAGATACTCAACCTTGCTTCCCAACAACTATAATAAAATTGGACTTTTAGTTTGGCTCCCAGCAGCAAGAATAGCGGCTGGCATTTTCCTGATATCACAACTTGGCCTGGAATGCATCTATCCAAGTAAGTGATACAGTCTGAGGTCACATCATGCCAATGGGTCACCAGAGAACAGCTGTCATTTCAGTCCTTTCCATCTTTAGCTCTGTCACAAAGAGGAACCCTCTTTCCCGATCTGCCAGCTCCTGCTCCCAGTCACAGGAGGGGACAGTGAAGGAGGGTTGCAGGGAGGAGTGTGGGGAGGAACCCTTCTCACACAGTCCCAAGCCCTCGACAGGGAGCAAGGCCTGGCCTACAGCCTCCTAGGCACACCCGCAGGCAAGGGGCTTGTGCTGAGAGAGCAGGAGAGAGGGAGGGGACAGGAAGTGGTACACTTGGGGTCTGGAGACCCACAAGAAAGGAAAACTGGTTTTCAATATGGCTGCTTTCTGTGCTGTCAGCTCCTTCCCTCCTATCCTCTGTTAGAAAGCGGCAAGTGTGCACCCCTAACCTCACTTGGCACTCCCGTACCACGCACACTTCCTGTATACACTGGGTCCTGCAATCAGATGACTCACTGCCAACAAGAGGTCTCCAGGCACTGGGGGCCGACTTACGCTGTTTACAAAATTGTCCCTGTGCCAGAGACCTTGAATTCTTTCTGACTAGTGACTTCTCCCCCAACGAACTGTCCTTTCCTTAACTGGACACAGCTCTTTCTTCCCCCTAGAACACACAGCCCAGGAGCATCTGCTCAGGGGCCTGGCAGAGCCTCCCAGGCCCCACACCCACCTCAGTTAATCCTTACAACTACCCTCTGAGGGAGGGACTACCTTCGATCCTACTTGGAGCGTGAGAAAACCATGGCTGGGTGAGGTTCAGTGGCTTGCTACTAAGAGGCTGACCTGATTGTTTATCATTATCATACACGACCCTTCTCCCCACAGCAGCAGCCCCTCACTCCCAGCGGTTAGGCTGGAGCTGGAGGTCTGGCCTCATCTGTGCCCTAGGCCTCTGCTGCCCCGCCAGCCTCCACACGTGTGTCTCACCCGGCAGTTCTGACTCTGCTGTGTCCTCCAGTTTCTCTGGAGCATGGGCTCCTCAAGGGCAGGGTTGTGATGACCCCTGTATCCTGTTCAGATGCTTGTGCTACAGGTCTTGAATAAATATTTGAGTGAATAAATGAGACTTTAAAAGGAAACCAGGACTGCAGGTCTAAGGATCCAGCATACTTTACCAGACACTGTACATAGCAGATAACAAATGGTTTGGAGACATTGTCAAGAATTTCATCCGGCTCTAAAAACGTTCTAGAATGCTCTCAGTTCCAGATCACCCAAAATGGATAGCTTCCATTTCCAAAGTGCTGGGCATGTCCTGTTCCCAGGCCTTGTGCTTAGCACTTCACATGTGTCACTTCACGGAATCCTGTCACCCACTCTATAAGGTAGGTGTTATCTCCATTTACAGACAAGGAGGCTCAGAGAGGGGAGGTGACTCCCAAGTCACTAGACAGAAGAGATGAGCAGACATTCAAACTTGGCTACTTTGGAGAAGCTGTCCAAAGCCTGACTTTTGGGGTATTAAACAACACAGCCAAAATGAGAATCATTACTTAATTGCCAACTTCATCTCCCCTAAAAGGTTTTTATTTCTCAAAATACCCTAAGGCCACCTTCGTCTAAAAGCTGAAATCTCTGTAGCTGACCCATGGAGAAAAGGGCACGGCCACCTAAACACCTGGCTTGCCCGTCCGAGGGCCCCACACCACCCAGGCCCCAGTGCTGGGCCGGCATGCTCCTCCCACAGCCAAGACACACTTGTCCCTCAGCAAACACAGGCCCCACGCTCCACACAAACAGTGACGGGACGAAGACCTGATGGAGCTGGCCCTGGCGCTGGTAGAGGGCCACGGGTTATGGAAACAACGTGCATCTCACACAACCAAACCACACGGAGCCAAACCAGAGCCTGGTGTTCTCAGCTGTGTTAGAGCAAACTGCGGACCATCTCCAAGGCACGACTGGGGCGTGAGGAAGCCTTCCATCTGGTGGGCTTTTGTGCCAGGCCAGGAGGTGCCCAAAGTGGGGGTGACTTCTGAATCACCTCACGAGGCCGGAATACAGCATGTCCTTTGCCTCCAACTGCCCCGTGCCCTGGTACCTTGACGACCCCTCCATTCCCTCCTGGGTAATAGTTTTGCTCCCAAAGCAAGCAAATGGGTCTCACTGGCATCCACTCCACCTCGGTAGGTGGTCCACCCTGCCAGCTGAGACGCCAAGGCACACACAGTCATGCTGCAGGCCTACCTGGCTCATCCCACTCCGAGCGGCCTTCCTGTCAGCCTGCTCGCCACCTCTATGCAGCTCTGTCTGCTCAGCCTCCCTTCCCGGAAAAGGGCTACCCTGGGGCTTGCTGGGCCGGCTCTCCTCGAGGGTGTGGAGATCTGAGAGTCTCTGTTCAGTGCTCAGGCACCTGACCACGTCTGAAGGTTTCAGGCAGCTCTTCTTAGAGATGTTGGGTCCACCAGGGCATCTCTCACCTGCCTCCCTCTCTGCTTTCCTCTCATACTGTCCACTCTCTTCTCGCCATGGCTGCTGCCTACCCTGGCTGCTAAAGGCATCATTAAGCTCTGAGATGACCCTGTCAGAGCTCCCGAGCAGCGGCTGGGAGAAGCTATCCTGGAGGCCTCCCGAAGATGGCACGCGGACACTGCGGTCTCCGTTGATGTGAAGAGAGGCCTGCACACTGGGTGCCAGGCAGTAGGCTTTGTCGGGGGGAGGCAAGGCCAGTGGGGTAACTCCCGAACGGGGGATGGAACGATCCGACCAACTCAGATGGGGGAGCCTGAGGGGCTGGGAGGGCCTGGGCTGCGCCAACAAGGCCGTGTGGTCAGTGTTACAGATAGAAGCCCCCGGCAGAGGAGGCAAGGGTGGGGGCAGGGCCAGAGAACGCCTGCGTGGGATCCCCACGGTCAGCGAGATCCACTCTGAGGTGACAGCATCCATCTCGGGGGACAGTGCTCGGCGGGGGTGGGGCAGAGACAAGGGGGCTGCCATGATAAGCTTGCTGTGACTGGGAGACTTAAAAAGGAGAGAGAGGAAAACAAAAGAAGAAGCAAAAGGTACAAGTGTCAGCATGAAGAACAGAGGAGGAACATGACCACAGGAGTATACGAAGAGGAATGAAATGGAGAGGACAACAGGGCATTTGGTGCCCAAAAGGAAATCCTTCGCTTAGATCTGGAGTGAAATGAGTGTGGGTGGGTGCGTGCCTATGTGCACACGTGTGAGTGCCAGCAGGGGAGGATGGAAGAAGTGGCACGGCAAGGGGAGAAAGCGTCCCATCCACACAGCCACAGGTGATGTCAGCCTGTCTGCAGAACCAGACTCTCGGAGGGACACACTGGAAGCTCCCACCCCACCTGACCCCCTCTGCATCCGGAGCTCCCAAAAAAAACTGCAAGGGGAAAAAGGTGATCCACCACTGCCCTGACCCTTTCTTGGGCCTTTTCTTCTCTCTAGGGGGTCAGCAAAGTGCCCTCCCAAACAGGGGTAGGAGCAATGTAGTCCTTCTTGTTCTATAATTGTTTGTGCTTGACTATGGTCAAGAGAAAACTAGATGAGTTCCCTATATTATCACAAAGCAGAATGCCTGGGGCCAATCTTGCACCTTGATTCTCCAGATCACAGGACATGGATCTCATGTGCAGGAAGCCCTGGGTCAGCCCACCTAATTCTGTCTGCCAAGAACCATCTCTTGGGGTCAGCGACAGGCAGGTGGAAGAGCAGGAAATGAGAAGAGGATGAGAGAAAAGAGGCACCAGCCAAGTGCCACCCTGGGTCCCCAGGGGCCTGCTGTCATGCCTCTGGCCCCCTCCCTGCACCTCACCACTGGGGTGTGGCCAGTCGGTTTCACAGGAAGTCACTCCACTATGCTTCTCCTGAGGCCAAGGTCCTAAGCCCTTTCTGGGATTTGGAAAAATGGGGATGGGTCTGGAATAATTTATAATTTAAAACAAAGTTGCTCATAATTAATGTTCAGGGAGGCAAATGTCTTACTATGTATATAAACTTACTTCCTTTCAGCCCAGCACACACAGAGATGCTATAGGTCTTTCACCAACCCAGTTCTTGTTTGCAAAGAACACTCTGGATCTGTTCTGTATGTCTGAGGAGGAGACTGTGAAATTCTTTCTTTTAACCTTGGTCTTCTGCAGGCCAATGCTGATCAGTAAGATGACTAGGAGAACCATCCTGGCATGTGTGGGACAGCAGTGGTGCCCAGACAACCAGCTTCACCCAGGGAGGGATGCTCCCCTGCACCAACTTATAAAGGCTATTATTTCTCTTTCCTTAATTATCTTATCCCAAGAACGATTACCTTAAGTTCTTCCTTTTCCCCGAGATAAGATTTCTCCCCACAAGTTCTCAAAAAATGCCTTTTGTATGCATGGAAACAAACCCTGGTGTGTATACAGTGCACTGCTGAAGATGGTTCTTAAATCACAGTGTTGAAGAACCCCCCCCACGCTCCCCAAAAGGGCTGTGTGCCATCAGGGTTTGCCTTGCTGAGAGAGAAAACCAGTGATGAGAAGGTTAGGTACCTGTGGGCTTGCAGTAGCACTACGACTTGGGGAGGAGGAGAAAGGCAGGTCGATGTAATCCATGGGGTTTTTCACCAGTGGCCGTTTGAGCACATCCACATAGGTGATGGGGAAGATGCCTTGCCGGGATGTCCCTGGGATCCTCCCTTCATACCAGTTCTCATCCACCTGTCGGAGCAGCGTGATCCTCTCTCCCTGTAAGACATGGCAGGGCAAAGGTCCTGTCCCACCATGCCTCCCCATGCTGAGGCCCCTGCTAGCGTCCTGTGCTGTTGTGCATTACGTTACCATGTTCTTTGCTCAGAAAAACCTTCCTTGCTAGACCTGGAAGGAGATGCTAACAGCAGTAAAGCTACCTGGAATTGGGAAGCTAGCTTGGTCTTTCTATATTTCAGTAAAGGAGGTCAGATTTATTCCCCAAGCTAGCAAGATAGTGTAGTGTTTCCGACTCATTTGATGCAAAATAGATATCCAATCTTCTTCCCTAAAGCAAAGGTTTTGGGGGAGGGGGGTGTCCTTTCTTAACTTTCTTCCCCTGAATCATTATAGAAAAATGAAAGCACAAACATAAAGCAAAAAATAATCACTACCCATAATATCACTTGGGGGTACTATATTTTGAGGTATGTATTTCCCAGATTTAATTCTATGCATGTGAATTAGACTTGCACATATTCTTTCTTCCAAAAATTGAGTATGCCCTGGACATCCCTTTTCCAACCTTCTTTTTTATACTTAGTAACATATGGTGGACCTCCTCCTTTATCAAGAAATAAAATTCCACATTTTTTAACAGTGTTGGCCAGCTTAAGGATTCACTGTAAGGTATTATATTGTACACGCGTATGATTTAATTACTGGTCTCCTGATGTTGGGGAATTAGACTGCTTGCGCTGCTTCTCATTCTAGAAGGTGGCTCTTCTTTTTCCAAGGCATGAGCTCACTTCCCCCAATCCTCAATGATGTCAGTAACTTTAACAACTTTAGCAACCCAGAGAATTCTGACATGTAAAGTGTGTGTCTGAATTCCTGGTTAGAGTATCTCTGCACAGCCTAATTGTGCTCACATGTTGAGATCCTTGAAGGCAGTGATGATGATATGGCCTTTCCTGCTTACTGAGCACCAACTGGACGCCACATGACATGCTGTCAATGTCAATCCTCTTACAGCAGCTCTAATAGCAGACTATTTATCTTCATTTTACATATGAGGAAATGGTAGCTCGGAAATATTATTTAACTCCCCAAGGGCTGCATGGCTGATAACCTGTGACTTCTGTCTTTAAAGTTTTCCACACTTCTCCTGGTTTCAAAGGATTCGCTTTTCTCCAGTAGGCCACATTAATATGTCATAAAACCTAGTCACCAACACAGTACTTCCCACATCAGTAGGTGCTCAATAAATGTTGGTTGAATAGTTTATACAAGATGCCTAAGAGTCCAGAAATACTGCCTTTAGTCAGTGAACTCCATGTACTTAAACTTTGACAAGCCTAGGGTTTATTTTTTAAATACCTCACCTCAGAAAATTCTCTAGGTGCCCTCAATGCAGCCTTTGACTGGGCACAGCCCTTGGGTGCAGCAACAGCGCCAGACTGGCACCCACTGCACAGCCACATCCCCATAACAGTGCCATCCAACAGTGCCCAGAGCACTGGGAGAGAGGCTGCCTTACCTTTCTGAAGGACATTTCTACTTGTGTATCACCATTAAAGGTAAACTTTGCAACAGCTTCTCCATATTCCAAAACCTGCACTGGTGTCAACTTCTTGGGCTGAGCCTTCTCAGCAGGAGGAAGAAGCTGAGAAAGGAAAAGTAGCCAAGGAGAATGGAAAAAAGGAGAAAGCGGAGAGGTGAGAGGAAGGGGGAAACAAAACAGAAGTCATCGGTGAATACATGGTGCTCTGGGCACAAGCAGGCCCTTCTTTATAAAGACGAGGAGCTACAGTACCTCGATGTAGGTGCGTGGGAAGATCCCCACCCGGCCGTGGTGCTCTCCTTCGTACCAGTTCTGATCGATCTGCTTATAAATGTAAACGATGTCTCCCTTCTGCAGAGGAAGCTCCCTGTGGACAGAGGGCCATGGAATATGAGCAGATGTCTCAATATGTGTAAGATTAAGGCACTCCATTTTTTAGCAAAAGGAGCTTCAAGTGAGGTCACAAATGACAGAAGAGGTGGCTCCATATTTAGAAGCGAGAACCTTACTGTTCAGGAAATTGTATCGCATTTGGCATTTTCCCAGTCTTTTGGGGGATGGATGTTAACTTTTAAACTGACTACTACTGCAAAGTGCTCAGAGGCCTTATCAGTTTGTTGTTTTGTTAGTGTGTGTTTTTGTGAATGCCACCTTATGCTCAGAATATTTATGTAACACATAGTTACACACCTAGGAATCTTAAGCAATGTTCATGAAATGATAAAAATGTCCCCTTCTAGATACTTTCACTGCCTTCCCTACCCTCTTCTAGGCCCTGGCATAGCATGCCTTCATTACTTTAGGTTACCCCCAAATCATTTGTGTTATGCTGATACCCTTTTATCATTCCATCCATTTAGTCATCTGTCCACCCACCCACCCAGTACATTCCAGGTAGTAGAAAGGCTCTGAAATGAGGCAGATCTGGGTTCAAAACCCAGTTATACCATTTACCAGCTCCGGAACCTTGGGCAAGATACTTACTCTCTGAGACTCTCTATCTGAAAACAGGAGCTAACTCAGAGATTTTGGAGAATTCAGCAACAAACTATAAATAAAACACCTAAAATGGTGCCTGTTAAATAGTTAACACTAAGTAAATGCTAATTCACTTCCTTTTCAACATGGAAAAGGTATCTCGGAAAGAAAAGTGGATTTCCTTCAAATGTTCTTTATGCCTCTTTCAGCTATGCCTCTTTGCTGCAGTAATGATGATGCTGGGGCAGCTCACACCCCTGCACATGCTCAGGCGCCATGAGCCCCCATCACTGGGCCCCAGCCCTGGGTCTCCAGCTGTGCACGAGGCAAGATACTGAGGTGCAGCTTGGAAAACTGGGATGCCCAAACCAGACACAAACATGGAGAAGTGCTTTGGAGAGCTGTACCAAACCTTTGCTGCATATGTGCGGGAAACAGCTAGACCGCGAGACCAAGAAGACCTCCTGGCCAATGCAGTCAGTGAATACGCTTCTACAGAGACCCCCATATGTAAAGTGGGGCCTAACACACTTTGCTGATGAATTTGCCCAACTTCAGGATTATCGACAACCAGAGGTTGAAAAGACTTGAAGCTAAAGTAGTTGAACCTTTGAAAGCTTATGGAAACCTCATGAAAATGAAACGCGATGACCTCAAAGCAACATTAACAGCAAGGAATAGAGAAGCTCAACAACTCGGAGAGCACACGTCAGCGAAACCCATCTGGACGTGGTGTTTGGTGGCAGAATCTGAACTGCAGAGCTACAATGGATGCGACCTGAACAACTCTCATCTAGCAGAAACTGACAATTTTGAAAAGCAGAAAATAAAGGCTATAAAGACTATATTATGTATGTTCAGAATTTATCACTAGCAAAATGTTATTTCAAGGCAAAGCTGTAGAGGTCTATATTGCTATCAAAATACACAAAAGATTGATGAAGATGTAGAGGTTTCCTGAGATTCTCTGTATCCACCAGATGACTCATGTAGCTATCCTAAGAGCAAATTCAAAGTCGCCTCTTCAGAGATCACTGTCAGCGAAGTATCTGGAAGATGACGGGTATCCACCTGTTTGACTAAGAAAGGGTCAACTAGCAGAAGATGATGAAAAGGATGAAGACACAGATGTTACAGAAGAAGAATATTAATTTTTTTAAGTAAACTTCACATGTCCATTTTCATCTTAAATGACGGGGAATTGAGAATTACTAAATTGTAAACCTTTATCCTGGCTTGATACATTAAACCTAAAAATGAAATCCCGCTGCAAATAGAAAATAATTAAAGGAAATTTATGCTGCCCCAAAATGAAGGTTTTAAAAAATATTACAAACCCCAGCCATTTCAACATCCTATCTAGCATTAATCTTTTTGTATAGGTTCCTTTTCAAAGAAATTATGTTTTCAAAAGTATTTCATATTAGTGCACCATACCTAGCTGAGGTTTTAATGTAAGTACATGACAGAAAACAAAGGTTCTAATAATTCCACTCATGGTTAAGATACCAGGCTTTCATCACCAGAAAAGGGTCCTAGATAGTTCTGATTAAATAGAAATTCTATTCCATAAAGCCTTAATCAAAAAAGTTTTTTCCTTTACTTTTTTCCCCCACTTTTACTACAACTTGAAATTTCATTTGATACATAAACTTACTTTTCAACAAGAGTGTAATCACTCTTGAGTAAAGGTAATGATAGGACACAATGATATCAGTGTCTTACAACTATATATAAAGCATAAATTTTAGTTATAAAAAGAAAGTCACATTCAGAGTATAAGAACAAAGGAAAAACTGAAGGAACAAAACAGCAGCAGACTCACAGAACCTAAGAATGGAATAACAGTTACCAAAGGGAAAGGGACTGGGGAGGATGGGTGGGAAAGGAGGCATAAGGGTGGGGAAAACAGGGCATTACGATTAGCACACATAATGTAGTTGGTGGGGGGGGGCACAGGAAAGGCAGTACAACACGGAGATGACAAGTAGTGACTCTATAGCATCTTACTACACTGATGGACAGTGACTGCAATGGGTATGTGGGGGTGACTTGATAATAGGAGGAGTCTAGTAACCATAATGTTGTTTAAGCAATTGTACATTAATGATACCAAAATAAAAAAAAAGAAAGCCACATTCAACATTCAGCCCGATTTTGGTTTTAAAACAAAAATGCTGTCATATTAAAGCATTATACATGGTACTACAACTTTTGGAAAGCTCCGGTTTGGTGGAATGTTGCCTAGGACAACATTATGGAAAACCATAAGTCATTAACAGTTCTATAAAAACTTTACCAAGCTACCATTTAATTAATAAGAGTATATAGTCACTTTTATTTCTGAAAATAAGATAAATCAGAGAGCCTTTCCGTTTATCTGATGCTTTTGTTTCTTTGGGTTGGGAATTGTACCTTTGCTATTTTATGGATCTGAGTCAGGCACATAAAAATTGTAAAATTTATAGAATCAGTTGGGATTCCTACAAAAACCAATTATTTATTAACAGAAAAAACTTTCTAGAAAGCTTTAAAAAATAATGACATTAATCTCTAGCAAGAAATTCTTAAAATAAAAATGAGACAAAGAGGTAAATTATAAACAAAATGGAAACTTAAAAGAACAAAACTGGTTATTTGAAATTTTCTTACAAAAAAAAAAAAAAAAGACCTAGATCTTTTCTATTTGCATCAAACCAATAGCATGGAAAGAAAGGTCTCTGATTGCAATTTGGAGGGGGTGTGGCTGCTCTGCAGTGTGCCAGGAAGTCCCACAGTACATGAGGGATGCTGGCTAAACAATGAGTGCACATCTGGAAAGCTTTACACAAAGTCAGCAGTGTGCTGAGGGAAAGAAAAGGCGGCCTCTGTGGGTCTCGCACTGGTAGACAGGATTGTAATCCTAAAGGGGCCTGGGAAGGGGATCCAGGGCATTTGTCTCTGTGTGAGAGAATGACTTTGGCCCCATTTCTGCCATAGCCCTCCTCGGGAGTATTCTGAATCCCCTCCTCTCCTGAACCACACAATGTGCAGGACCCTCAGCATATCCACCCCTGAGGAAGATCTGCAGGCTCCAAACTCTGCCAACCCAAAGTGATGTGCAGCTGCAGGAGGACAGCCTATGTAAGATGGAGGGGTCAGTAGTCATGGTCAAAGGATATGTATCTCGGGGTCCTTGGGGCTGCTGTCCTTGCTGCATGCAGACCACACTCTCACCTCCCAAATACCCATGTGACAAGGGCTGGTAGGAACAAGGTTTGAGCAATGATAACATACACATGAGATCTTTTCTGGAGTGTCACCATGTACGTTAGCATAGTACAGGCTTGGAGAAGTCCTGTCGGAAGACATCTGTTTAACTGTTAAATCAAGCATTCCTATCCAATACTCTTTTGAGTAACGTACTATAGGGGAAAACAGAACCCAGTGATGAAAGATGCTGAAAGGACTCAAGTCTGTGGAGCTGTCATTTACTCTTCTTCAAAAGTTTGATTGACTCTTTTGGGAGGCACATGGTGTGGGAAAGTGAACTCGGTAGGAAAGCAGGCCTCTCCTGCGTCAGCAACACCGATGCACAGGGACACAGCCTGTCTACCTCAGCTTTCTCACCTGCTCTGTTTGACAGTGCTGCTCTAAAGGAAAAACTGTTCTCAGACTTTTTAAAAATGAAGTCTAGGTGGATATAACATTATCACAACACCATTCAGTGATTACACAGACCTTTCCCAATTCAGAGAAAAGGCAAAGGTATTGTCTGATTAAACTAAAAATTAATTTAGTTATCTGTTATCCTCTCACTGGTTAAGAGACAGAGAACTCTTTTATCCTCTCTGGTTGAAAATGGGGAGGATCCTGAACTTTGCTACATTTTGTAAAATGTCTGACAAGTATTACCTTGCTGCCCTACAAGAGAGGCATTTTTACACCCATTTCACAGATGAGGGTATTTGAGGTGGAGAGGACAGGGATGTGCTCCCGGTCACAGGAACAGTGAGTGGCAGAGTCAGCATTCAAGCCCAGGACTTCCTGACTCTAGGCCCATCATCTTCCACACACTATGCTGCCAAGCCTTGTAGCTGGTGAGCAAAAGGACCAGAACAACTACAAATAAACCCAAGGACAAGATCTGTGCCCATGTTCTGGGAACTGTGGCGGGGTCCCTCATTCTGTGGCACAGGAGATGAGAATCATGCTGACAGCCTGCACACAGCATTTCCCAGCACACCAGGACGGGCTCTTTTCCTCTCAGCACCAGACACAGGGCCTCCCATTGGCAGGACAGCAGGATGGCCACTGGCCACTGCTGACAATGGAAACTCATGGCCCTTTTAATCCAGAATTAGATATGAGATGAGCAGGTTCCTTTTGGAACCCAGTCTTCTGGTAGCATCCCAAATTCCGTTCCATGGAAAACAAAGGCTTCCTGGTAATCTAAATTTAGATCACACTGGGTTGAATAAGTTAATCAGGTTTCTTCATTGCAAACTTCTAGAGCCATTAAACAGCAGTGTCCCTTCAAGGTGGGGTGGGAAGTATAGACATGGCACACAGTGGTTCCCAGGCTCCTTTATGTGATGGGATACTCTTTTTGAGAAATAATTTACAGGGCTAGCACTCTGAGGAACATTATGTAAAAGAAACGCTGGCATCCTGTGGGTTCCTACAAGCCTTTACTCTCTTGGGATATTATAACAAACCTAGTAAAGTTATTTCCTAGAAGGGTGGTTCTGGTTCCTTCCATAGAAAGAATGGGTAAGATGGAGCTACCACTTAATCAAGCCAACTATAGAAGGTGGCAGGGTGGCAGAGTGGTAAGAGTCCAGGTTCTGGCACCAGGTTGCCTGGGTTTGAATCCCAACTCCAGCATGCCCAGCTTGAGTAGGTTCCTTAACCTTACAGTCCCTTAGTTTCCCCATCGGTACAAGGGGAATAATAAGAGCACCAGCCCCACAGGGCCACAGTGAGGGCTGAAGGAGTTGACGTATATGAAGTGCTTTGAAGGGTACTTGGCACATAGAAAACTTGGTAAACTACTGTGTGGGTTTTTAAAAAGTTTTATCATGGCTGTTTCTTAATTCTTCTTTACAAGTGAACTTCTGTGTCTCAAAGAGGCAGTTAAAAATAACAAAAATGATGGGTGGCACTTACTTTAGTGTCTGAGCCTTAAAGTCAAATTTGGCTCTGGCAGGTCTCATCTAAACACAAGAAACAATCACAAGTTAAGATCACAATTCATGTACAACAAAAAGGACACATTTTCACAAGTTTCTAGAAAGCAAAGCAGAAAAATTCACTCTAACCAGTTTGTTCTAATGCAGAAATCTGGGCAAAATTCTACTTGTCTGCCTTAGCAGAACATGAGATGGCTGTCTGGTCCTGTAGGTCATGTATGAGAAGCTCCCTAAGGAGGGCCAGATTTGGGGAAGAGATGGCTAGTAAAGTCCCAAAGCTGAAGTGCTGATTCTCCAAAGCTGACCATGTGTACAGAAAAAACAAAAACAAAAACAAAAACAGCTAGAAGACCTTCTTTATCTACCCCTTTACTCTTTGGAGGACGTCTATTTGCCTGGCTTAAATCATGACCTGCAAGTAGACAAAACTCTGATTTACTTCTCATGTCATCTCAAACTCCATCTATTTCTCACAGTCTGACAGAGCATCCAAAAAGCTGGATAAAGTGAGCCCTGAGCCCATTCTTTCTCCAAGGCTTCCACTCCTGTTGGGTAGGGCTCTCCCTCCAGACCCCCAGGACTAAAGGTCATCCTCAGCCCCAGTCTCCACTTCGTCAAGTCTGTCGTTCAGTCATGCCAACCCTCCCGTTGTCCCTCCACAACTCTGCTCAGGTCTGACCTCTAGTTCCTACAGGCACAAAGCTTCCTTTGACTTTACATTCTCTTCGCTCTAATCTCCTGTCACTCAGGAGCACAAATGACATTCCGCAAATACCTCCATCACATCACTTCCTTGCTTTGAAGTTGGCTGAGGCTCTCAACTGTCCCTCAGATCAAATCTCATTCCCTGACATGGGTTAAGGCCTTTGGGTAATTTTTCCCCATTCCTCCCTAACTGCCTGTATCTCTTACTACACTCTTCCTGCCCCAGGCAGGCAAATCTATTTGCTACATCTTGTCTAGAACTCCTTCTCTGGAATTTATTTCCAATTTCAGCAAAAAGAGAAAAGGTTCATCTTAACTTACTTATTTGCACATCTTTCTTCCCCACTGTTATTTTAACTAATAGTTATCTTAACTATTTTAACTAAGAGCAGTTATTTTAACTTTTTTTTTTTTTTTAAAGAAAGTGGGTAAAATCATGTGAGCGAGCAAGCTGTTGATGGTTGCCAGTATAAATCTAACCCTAGCCATGAGCATCTCCACCCTCTTCTACTGCTATGACTTTCCGGTCTTGGGACACAATGGGATGAAAATTAAATTACATACTTCCTCTTCAAAATTGGTCACATAAAAATTGTAAAATTTATAGAATCAGTTGGGATTCCTACAAAAACCAATTATTTATTAACAGAAAAAACTTTCTAGAAAGCTTTAAAAAATAATGACATTAATCTCTAGCAAGAAATTCTTAAAATAAAAATGAGACAAAGAGGTAAATTATAAACAAAATGGAAACTTAAAAGAACAAAACTGGTTACTTGAAATTTTCTTCAAAAAAAAAAAAAAAAGACCTAGATCTTTTCTATTTGCATCAAACCAATAGCATGGAAAGAAAGGTCTCTGATTGCAATTTGGAGGGGGTGTGGCTGCTCTGCAGTGTGCCAGGAAGTCCCACAGTACATGAGGGATGCTGGCTAAACAATGAGTGCACATCTGGAAAGCTTTACACAAAGTCAGCAGTGTGCTGAGGGAAAGAAAAGGCGGCCTCTGTGGGTCTCGCACTGGTAGACAGGATTGTAATCCTAAAGGGGCCTGGGAAGGGGATCCAGGGCATTTGTCTCTGTGTGAGAGAATGACTTTGGCCCCATTTCTGCCATAGCCCTCCTCGGGAGTATTCTGAATCCCCTCCTCTCCTGAACCACACAATGTGCAGGACCCTCAGCATATCCACCCCTGAGGAAGATCTGCAGGCTCCAAACTCTGCCAACCCAAAGTGATGTGCAGCTGCAGGAGGACAGCCTATGTAAGATGGAGGGGTCAGTAGTCATGGTCAAAGGATATGTATCTCGGGGTCCTTGGGGCTGCTGTCCTTGCTGCATGCAGACCACACTCTCACCTCCCAAATACCCATGTGACAAGGGCTGGTAGGAACAAGGTTTGAGCAATGATAACATACACATGAGATCTTTTCTGGAGTGTCACCATGTACGTTAGCATAGTACAGGCTTGGAGAAGTCCTGTCGGAAGACATCTGTTTAACTGTTAAATCAAGCATTCCTATCCAATACTCTTTTGAGTAACGTACTATAGGGGAAAACAGAACCCAGTGATGAAAGATGCTGAAAGGACTCAAGTCTGTGGAGCTGTCATTTACTCTTCTTCAAAAGTTTGATTGACTCTTTTGGGAGGCACATGGTGTGGGAAAGTGAACTCGGTAGGAAAGCAGGCCTCTCCTGCGTCAGCAACACCGATGCACAGGGACACAGCCTGTCTACCTCAGCTTTCTCACCTGCTCTGTTTGACAGTGCTGCTCTAAAGGAAAAACTGTTCTCAGACTTTTTAAAAATGAAGTCTAGGTGGATATAACATTATCACAACACCATTCAGTGATTACACAGACCTTTCCCAATTCAGAGAAAAGGCAAAGGTATTGTCTGATTAAACTAAAAATTAATTTAGTTATCTGTTATCCTCTCACTGGTTAAGAGACAGAGAACTCTTTTATCCTCTCTGGTTGAAAATGGGGAGGATCCTGAACTTTGCTACATTTTGTAAAATGTCTGACAAGTATTACCTTGCTGCCCTACAAGAGAGGCATTTTTACACCCATTTCACAGATGAGGGTATTTGAGGTGGAGAGGACAGGGATGTGCTCCCGGTCACAGGAACAGTGAGTGGCAGAGTCAGCATTCAAGCCCAGGACTTCCTGACTCTAGGCCCATCATCTTCCACACACTATGCTGCCAAGCCTTGTAGCTGGTGAGCAAAAGGACCAGAACAACTACAAATAAACCCAAGGACAAGATCTGTGCCCATGTTCTGGGAACTGTGGCGGGGTCCCTCATTCTGTGGCACAGGAGATGAGAATCATGCTGACAGCCTGCACACAGCATTTCCCAGCACACCAGGACGGGCTCTTTTCCTCTCAGCACCAGACACAGGGCCTCCCATTGGCAGGACAGCAGGATGGCCACTGGCCACTGCTGACAATGGAAACTCATGGCCCTTTTAATCCAGAATTAGATATGAGATGAGCAGGTTCCTTTTGGAACCCAGTCTTCTGGTAGCATCCCAAATTCCGTTCCATGGAAAACAAAGGCTTCCTGGTAATCTAAATTTAGATCACACTGGGTTGAATAAGTTAATCAGGTTTCTTCATTGCAAACTTCTAGAGCCATTAAACAGCAGTGTCCCTTCAAGGTGGGGTGGGAAGTATAGACATGGCACACAGTGGTTCCCAGGCTCCTTTATGTGATGGGATACTCTTTTTGAGAAATAATTTACAGGGCTAGCACTCTGAGGAACATTATGTAAAAGAAACGCTGGCATCCTGTGGGTTCCTACAAGCCTTTACTCTCTTGGGATATTATAACAAACCTAGTAAAGTTATTTCCTAGAAGGGTGGTTCTGGTTCCTTCCATAGAAAGAATGGGTAAGATGGAGCTACCACTTAATCAAGCCAACTATAGAAGGTGGCAGGGTGGCAGAGTGGTAAGAGTCCAGGTTCTGGCACCAGGTTGCCTGGGTTTGAATCCCAACTCCAGCATGCCCAGCTTGAGTAGGTTCCTTAACCTTACAGTCCCTTAGTTTCCCCATCGGTACAAGGGGAATAATAAGAGCACCAGCCCCACAGGGCCACAGTGAGGGCTGAAGGAGTTGACGTATATGAAGTGCTTTGAAGGGTACTTGGCACATAGAAAACTTGGTAAACTACTGTGTGGGTTTTTAAAAAGTTTTATCATGGCTGTTTCTTAATTCTTCTTTACAAGTGAACTTCTGTGTCTCAAAGAGGCAGTTAAAAATAACAAAAATGATGGGTGGCACTTACTTTAGTGTCTGAGCCTTAAAGTCAAATTTGGCTCTGGCAGGTCTCATCTAAACACAAGAAACAATCACAAGTTAAGATCACAATTCATGTACAACAAAAAGGACACATTTTCACAAGTTTCTAGAAAGCAAAGCAGAAAAATTCACTCTAACCAGTTTGTTCTAATGCAGAAATCTGGGCAAAATTCTACTTGTCTGCCTTAGCAGAACATGAGATGGCTGTCTGGTCCTGTAGGTCATGTATGAGAAGCTCCCTAAGGAGGGCCAGATTTGGGGAAGAGATGGCTAGTAAAGTCCCAAAGCTGAAGTGCTGATTCTCCAAAGCTGACCATGTGTACAGAAAAAACAAAAACAAAAACAAAAACAGCTAGAAGACCTTCTTTATCTACCCCTTTACTCTTTGGAGGACGTCTATTTGCCTGGCTTAAATCATGACCTGCAAGTAGACAAAACTCTGATTTACTTCTCATGTCATCTCAAACTCCATCTATTTCTCACAGTCTGACAGAGCATCCAAAAAGCTGGATAAAGTGAGCCCTGAGCCCATTCTTTCTCCAAGGCTTCCACTCCTGTTGGGTAGGGCTCTCCCTCCAGACCCCCAGGACTAAAGGTCATCCTCAGCCCCAGTCTCCACTTCGTCAAGTCTGTCGTTCAGTCATGCCAACCCTCCCGTTGTCCCTCCACAACTCTGCTCAGGTCTGACCTCTAGTTCCTACAGGCACAAAGCTTCCTTTGACTTTACATTCTCTTCGCTCTAATCTCCTGTCACTCAGGAGCACAAATGACATTCCGCAAATACCTCCATCACATCACTTCCTTGCTTTGAAGTTGGCTGAGGCTCTCAACTGTCCCTCAGATCAAATCTCATTCCCTGACATGGGTTAAGGCCTTTGGGTAATTTTTCCCCATTCCTCCCTAACTGCCTGTATCTCTTACTACACTCTTCCTGCCCCAGGCAGGCAAATCTATTTGCTACATCTTGTCTAGAACTCCTTCTCTGGAATTTATTTCCAATTTCAGCAAAAAGAGAAAAGGTTCATCTTAACTTACTTATTTGCACATCTTTCTTCCCCACTGTTATTTTAACTAATAGTTATCTTAACTATTTTAACTAAGAGCAGTTATTTTAACTTTTTTTTTTTTTTAAAGAAAGTGGGTAAAATCATGTGAGCGAGCAAGCTGTTGATGGTTGCCAGTATAAATCTAACCCTAGCCATGAGCATCTCCACCCTCTTCTACTGCTATGACTTTCCGGTCTTGGGACACAATGGGATGAAAATTAAATTACATACTTCCTCTTCAAAATTGGAGGGCATAGACAAAATGGAGGGGAAATGGGAGACTTGAGGTGAGAAAAAGTTGGTATGTAAAAGCTTCATTAAACTTAGTTTTAGATCCTGATCCCTCAGTGATATGCCCTGTATTTCCAAGTTCCTCAAGCTGAGATTTTCTAACAGACGGATCTTAAGGGCCATGACTTCTCCACAAGAATGTTTTATTTTTGCATTTTCATGCTGAAGTTTTCATCCATCTATCTATCCACATATTAGAGGGCAACTGAATGACTACCTTATAAGCAATGCCACACACCTTCAATGTGTGCACCTGTGTCTGTCTGTGACCACAGAGTAATTTAACAGTTGTAAGCAAATAAGACTGGATGTGGAGTTGATCAGTGACAAATTCACAAGAAAAAGCCAAATGACCAACACTGTAAAGACAAAAATTTCATAGTGATTCCAATAAAAAAAAAAAGTGGGGGTCACAGCATGACAGCCAGTTGTAGAGCTGTGTGAACTTTATAAGGTTTATACCCAAACAGTACCATATCCATACTCTGAATTCAGGCAAAATGACCTATCAATTAAGTTATAAAAACTGTATAGGTGTGTGGTTTACTATTCATTTCTTGAATTGGCCTAAGTCAATACTGGGGAGTTGGTGAAAATTTTTTTTCATTAAAGAGAATCCATACATCACTCAAGGTTGAGAAACACTGATTCCAGTGAACTCTTTAGACATATTATGAGAGCCATCATTGCTTATAAAAGGCATCATCACCCTCTCCTGAGGCTAAACCCATCTTTCCCTCTTCCAGCTCCTTCAGTAATGTATTACTCACTACAACAGAGAAAACTGCTATGAAGCTGACCCTTCCTTCCACTGGACAACCAGCTTCCTAAGGGTCAGGCTAAGATCTGTTTCTGTCTTCCCACAGGGTCTCACACAGAATTAGCAGACACCCAAATTCTACTAAATGGAACTGAAATACATCTACACAGCCCAGTGCATATTTTCTCATGTCTGTCAGTCAACATTGAGGGCAGTAATTCTCAAAGTATGGTCCCTAAACTGGTATCATCAACATCATCTGGGAACTGTTTGGAAATGCAGATTATTGGCCCCACTCCAGAATCAGAAACTTTGTGGACTGGGCCCAGCAATCTGTATTCTAACAAGCTCCTAGGATGTCCTGATGAGCATGCTAGTCTGTGAATCACTACTCTAGAAGGGAGGCGGGGGCAGGGGCTCAGGCAGTTTGCCCGCCTCTGTGCATGGTTATTATGCCTCATCTACATGAAAGTATGCAGCCCTAGAGTGCCATTGCATGCTCCCGTCTTCTCCATCACGTGCAAGCAGCTAGGCCTGTGACTGAGGGCAGTCCATCCCCAGCCTCCAGAACTCAAGGAGCTGGAACGCCAAGGGCTGTCTTTCCCTTGCCTCTGAGTGAACTTGCCAACACTTGCCTCTTCCTAACTGCACTCTCTTTTCTTCATCACCTTAGAGTCTCTTTCTCCTTCCTAGCTTTCCTTCCTTTAGCCTCATTCCCTCTTTTCTGTCAAACACTTTCTACTTCTTTAAAAAACAAAAAACAAACACCTGATGGACAGCCAGTGGCACCTCTGTTACTCAAAAGATAGAAATGTGAATATTAATCTATGATGATGAAAGATTATAAGTGTGCATATACTTGAGTGTCAGTTGCCCACTTTCCTACCCACCCCAAACCCCAGACATGCTCCCTTCCCCAGAGGGGCTACTCCACAGCAGGACAAACTGACACAGGGCACAGCATCTGGCCGGCAGGAGGATGTCAGCATGTTGCCTTTCATGCAGCAGGCCAGGCCCGGATAAAAATCACTTCAGAGGTTTAGGCTCCTTTGTTCCTTTTGTAATACTAAGTTTCACAATCAGATGAGGAATGTCAAAATTAAGGGAACAAATGAAATTTACTCTCCATGGGCTTCTCCTAACTGTACAACTCTTTGGGTTTCAAAGTTTTCAGTGAGGTTCCAGCACTCCTCAACACTTTTATTATACAATGAGCTCACTGTATAATACTGAGCAGCAGTATTGTTCTCTGCTATTTCAACATTAATGACATTAAACTTGGGGGGGTCTGTGTAAATAATGTACCATTAGCAAACTTTTTAAATATAAGTTTCACTACACCATCTCTTCAATTTTGCATTTTCTCTTTTCTGTGGTAATTGTCCCCACCATAGCTACTAATGCATACAGATGAAGATACAAGGTTTCTAAGCAGAATGCATAGGCAACACTGTATCATGATAAAATGCAGATGGAGAGGACTGGACTCCTGAAGGCAGCCGATGCTCTAAGGCATGCATTAGAGATGTGATGTGTCCCAGCAGATCCCGGTCCCACAGCCAGGCATGCTTGAGCATACAGAGCACAGGACACGATGGGAATCATGTCCACTGACGAGCTGCGGAAGAGCCAAAGCAAGCCTAAGGGAAGCCAGGATGACAGATACTGTTTGGAGAGCTAATCTGGCCTACAGAGGGCAATGCTGAGGGAGGCAATATTGCTTTGGGTCTCAAGCAGCAGATCGAGGTGACCAAAACAGACCTCTGACCCAGATTTCCTTTTTGCCGTATCGTCTATATTGAGGAGGTCCCCAAAGCGCTCATTAGTGATAAATTGATGGTGCGTCGGAATGACGCCCGTGTGGCGTCGAGCTGCGATATCGGCCTCTTCTTGCTCGCGCTTAAGTCGTCTCTGGTCCGCTAAAAGTTTCTGCCATGAAATTGCATAAAATGGGCAGTGAATCATCTGGTCCAGGGTATTGGAAAACTGCCAAGAACACAACTAAGGAAAAAGGCTGGAGGGTCAACAGGAGGAAATTTTAAGGGTCAGATGTTGGAGGGGTTTTATGGCCTCAACCACTACGTTCCCACTGTACTGTAACCACCCCCACCCACGTTCTGTGTAGGAAGAAGGCAGCCCTGCATGGGAGAAACCTGGGGAAGGTAGGACACGGGAGGATGAATTCCATATAGTTACACCATCTAGCAAACTATCCCCCAGCTCAGCCAAAAGCTCCCTGCCTCCTGATACATGGCAGCAAAGTCAGTCACCGGAGGCACATGTGTAGTATTCACAAGCATGCTGGGCCGGGGGGTGAAGTGCTGGGAGGGCTGGCCTCACCTTGCTTAGTGACGGGTCCCCACAGTGTGTTCCCAGGGCGGGACAGGGCTGGCTGATTCCTCCGGCCCCATTCAGGGCTATGAAGCCTGCTAAGGGCTTTTACTATGTGAAGGGTGACAACCAGGTAACTTGTATTTCCTATGATCGTTACTCCAGTATATGCTCAACAGAGAATGGATGCCTATTTCAAAAAATATGTCACCCCTTCTCCTAGGCCAGCCAACCCTTCCAGCCAGGCACAATTTTTCACGAGGCCTGAGAGTGCATTCGCCAAGGTCCATATGTGATTGACAACAAATCATTAGTTATTTTCTTACTGTAGTTTTTACTTAACTATTTCTTCATAGAGGAAATGAAACTGAGTTGAAAGGAATCATGTAGAATATAAATACAAAAAGAATTAGTTAACTATTTCTATTTTTAAAGGCCTTTAAAAATAATTAAACAATGTTGCATTTTACCAAATGTCCTCATTGCCTATTGAAATGATCCTATGGAATAGAATTTTAATGTGTTTTCTTATCCCATACCAATCATAGATGTCTGGGATTAACATTCCTTGTGGGAAAGCATTAATTAGAACTGGTAATTCCTAGCATTCTCAATAAAATGTTAGTCTTTTTCCAGCAGGCAAGTAAATGCATCAAGTGACACCTAGCCCCAGAGGATGGTGGGCCTGATTTTTTAAATTTTATCCAGGGTCTACAAATAATAAAGTAACAACTTATCAAATGGCTGTGGGATGTCCTGCATTCAGGTAAGCTGCAGTAAAGAGTAAATGAGAAAATAAATGAGAAAGTGCTTTGCAAAGCACTGCGCCATAGAAAGGGCCCAGGCCCAGGATCAGAAGCCCTGGTTTCCAGCTCTGCTTCTGGTGTATGTTAACCTGCTATGTCACCCTGTGTAAGCTACTGTCTTGTTGCAGACGTTTCTTGGATAAAACAAGAGGATTGGCTAGATGACTACTAATAATCCTTCAGGACTGACATATTCTCATCTTCTGAAATGCCACTGTGATCAGTATTAGTAATAAAATATTTACCTAGAAAAATACCAGACTGACACTCCAGTACCTGGGAAATGTGAGTTGTTTCTGTAGCGATGGCCATGGACTGATGCTTAAGGCTGCCACATGTCTGGTGCTCTGGCCAAAGTTATGTGTAATCCGTCAAAGTGGACAGTGAATGGAGCAAAGCGCCTAACCCAGTGCTTGACTCTGACCTCAAGAAATCCATCATTCCCTTAAGCCAAAAACCATGGATAAAGACACAACATTTTTAAGGAGCCAGTCTATTCAGGAAACAAACTGCTTCCCTTCTGAATGCACCTTTTAATGCATCAATTGCTAACCCAAGTAAATTATGCCTCCCATGTGGTAAGCAAGGATTCTATTATGAAGCCTTCTGTGCTGGATGCTAGGGTTACACTACTAAAACAGAATGTCATCTTTCACCCTAGCAGCGCAGGCTGATGCAGGTGGGAATCTTGTATCTCAGTGATTAGAAATGATTCTGTTCTGTGGCCTGACAGACACTCATTATGAGTTTTCCACCTCGTTTTTAAAAATAATTCTCTATATCAAATGCTTCATCTTGTTTCTCTCCACTGACAGGTGCAGATACCTTACTGAATGACCATTGTATTATTCCTCAAGAGGGAGAGAGCGGTTGCCTTTTTTGTCTCTTGTCATCTGCCATCAACAACTATCACCATCCATCCCTTTGCAAAGTCAGCCTTACCTAAATCCTTTAGGAAAATCCACTGCAACCCAAAACCACTCAACAAAACACAACAATCAGCTTCAGACTTTACAGGTAAAGGGCCAGAGTTGTGTATACCTGAACACCCTCCCCCTACTGCCACCAGGTTCAAAGCAATTCTTCCATCTCTTAATTCACTACAGGGAAACAGTTATCAAAGCTGCTTGATCTCCAGACCCCTTCCTTCTGGAAATCCAAAGTCCAAAAAGTATGCCTTGCAACAGCACTGTATTGCCACAGAAGCTTGTGATTTTGCCCATTTCACTAACATGTAGAACTAGCTCTTCTGAAACCCCAAGGGCATGTGCTCCTTTCCTGGCCCTGTCAGTCCTACCACTGCCATCCAGACATTTCAGGAGCTACAAGAAAGGGCCCATATTCTGAAGCTCTGGTGGGAGTTTAGCAGCATTTACTGGGGTACCTTTCTTCAGCTAAGTTAAAGACAATTTCTTCAAATTGTTTTATAAAATGTATTGTGGTCATTATTTTTCAGTTTCCCTTTTTTCCTACTGCATCCTTCCCAATATGAACTATGCTTTGGGCCAACAGAGGAGTGGGCAGTACTGGAGAAATATGTGGGTGGACTTCCCTAGAGAATGACAAGGCAGGGGTTAGGGACAGGGATGACAGAGCAAAGCAAATTCGGGGTTCCCTCACAAGGCACTGAATGCGTTGGTGGGCATCCTCTTTCTGAACCTCCTGAAGCAGGGCTAGCTGGACCTGGCATTTAGGAAATAGTGCCTGTGGGGAAATTGGTCCTACTTTTTGGAAAAGTGGAGAGACTGAGCTTATGTCACATAAAAAGTCATTTGTGAAAACATCAACCTTTGCATCCAATTGCTAGGCCATGTCACCTCTCTGACAGACGTCTAGAATGTCTACTTCCTTCACATTTTTATCTGCTCAAAAGCTAAGAGATTTTTAAATATGGCATTTACCTCTTTATCATCGTGACGTCTCCGAATGAATTCTTCTGTGGACTCCAGATAATCGGTTGGTATAAAATGTCTTGGTGATTCTGAATCTTCAGAACAACAAAGTAGAATTAAAACAGGCAAAGATTTAGTGGGGAACCAGACTGGGAAAAGATTTCACCTTTCATCCATTATAAATATCAAGTTTCCAGAGTCACTGATTAGTGATCAACAGTCAAATTCTGAAGGAAAAAATCCCCAAACCCTCCCTTCCCACCTTTTGGAATTACTTATAGTTAATGCTAGAAAACTAATCAGAGGGCAAAAGGTGAGAGTGAGGACCTTCTTTGCAAAGTGTCACTGTGAAGAGCCATGCAGGACCTCACAGGGACACACTGCACACTCACACACACACACACACGCACAGGGCCACTGAGAGAGGCTGCCTCCCGAAACACCACAGGCTGAACTGGGCTTGATGTAAACTGCAAGGGGCTTGAGAGTTCAAATGAACAAATTTCTCAGATGAGCTAAACGGCCAATTTTTCTTTCGAAACAGAGTTTGGTGGTTAGTCTACATGACATGGGGGCTTTGTTTTTAAAGAGGTGCAGCCACTACAAGCCAGGATTAATTGCCAAGCAAAACAAACAGAAAACAAAGGACAGACCAGAAAATGAGCACCAAAGGCACATGGGAAAAGGGGACAAAGCAAGCAAAGTGGAGAGACGGGTGAGGCGAGACGGGGGCAAATACACAAAACGCCACCTCCGAGGCACGCTCCCACTTCACTGTGTGGATTGTTGTTCCTGTCCAGGCCGTGGTCTGAATAGGGCACAGAATTCCCATTATTAAAGGCCCCCAGGCAGTCCTCTGAGACCGAGGGTCTCTCCCGTGGGGGCTCTGAGATGCGGCTCAGCCTGGCCATGGTGTGACGGGAGGACAGGCGTTTGGGAACCGAGGGCTTCCGCCCCGGCGGGGGCCAGTCCCGACAGGGCTGACTGGGGAGGTCTGGCTTCTGGCCCCCCAGGGGGCCGGAGAGGTCACTGGGAGAAGGCTGCCTGGGGTGGTGCTGGAGGGGCTTTTTCAACCGGAAGGGGAGGGGGCTCATCAGGTAGATGTTCCTGAGGAGCGCGTTCTTGTCCCCCCTGGGATCCGGGCGCCAGTCGGGCTGTCTGCAGGCCTGCTGCTCGTGCTTCCGGATGGTGGTGAAGCGGGTGTAGGAGGCCGGGCAGGCGCCCTTGCACTTGCTGAGGCGGTGTCTGGGGAAGTCTCCGTGAGTGCTGCCACTGCTGCCCTCCCTGCTGTCACTGGACGTGTTCGAGCAGTGGTCAAGCTCGTCAGAGCAGGCAGAGAGGGGCTCAGAAGGTGCCAGGCCCCTAAAGCCCAGGATGGAGTCTGCCACATCACTGCAAGTTGGGGAGGCACAGACGCCCCTGGGGTCCATCCTGTCCATCACCCTGGGCCGGAGTTTGGTTGACTCCAGGAGGGACTCGGCTGAGCGGGCCGAGGTCAGGCCACTCCGGGACAGCACGGGCGTGGGGGACTTGCTCAGCCTCCCAGACAGGTCTAGGGACGGCATGGACCGGGACCGCTGAATCAGCTGCTCAAAAGCTGTAATGCGGGAGGAGACCGTATGCTTGGGGATGTGCTCTGAGCCCTCTGGGCTGGGGCCCAGCTCACCCCTGGCCAATGCCAGGCTGCTCCTTTCAAAGTGGGAGGCAAGGTCCCGCACACTCGAGGAGGAGACGGATCCCAGGAAGAGGCCAGAGCGGTTGATTTGGTGCATGTCCCGGTAGAACATGGAGAACTGTGTCCCAGCCTTTCCCACGAGAGGGCAGGGCCTCCCTGCGCTGTTGACGGACTCCTGCAGGCTCATGGTGCTGCTCCGCTTGCTGTCAAAATCCCGCCGGGGGCGCCCTAGCAGATTCTCCACGCTCCCCCCAACTTGGAGGGGGAGGCTTCTTTTGGTATCATTCAAAGAAACCGAAACACAAAGGTTCTCACAGCTCTGAGCCTTTTCTGATGGCAACAGGACTCCCTTTTTTTCCTGCAAAAGAGCGCTGGGAGCAGAGAGCCTGGGTTTGAATTTGGACGGAAGGATTTCTGAAATGCAGGCTTTCGCAGCAGACAGGGGTTTCTTGTGCTTACAGCCAGGGCCTAACGCATTGCTATAGTTAACTGTTCGGCTATGAGCTGAAGATGAAGAAATCATGTGAGCATTCCCACCTTTACGATCCACTGGAAAGCATGCAGAATAAAATAAACAGACCCATTAGGTTAAAGCTGAAAGCTGCTAAAAAAAGGGTGAGGTAACATGCTCATTTGTCATAAGGGTTTTTTTGGTTTTGTTTTTTAAAAATTTCCAGTTGATGTCCAGAAGCAAAGTAATCTGTGCTGCGAAGCAGGTGCAAAGATGCAAAGAAAAATGGCCACCCTGCTGGAGTCAGGAAAGGTAAAAGCTCAGCTAATTTCTAAGATAAGGGAGCAAAAAAGAGAAGAGAGATGCTTCAGGGAGAGCAAGGTTGGGGTTTGAAGGAAGAGGAATATTAACACCCGAAAGAAAAATGGCCGGTGAGAAATGAGGGAGGGAATGAGGAGGGCTCAGAGGCCTGGAAATCATCTGCCATGGCAGAGCTTCTCCCAGTAGCTGCCATCAGGCCTGTAACAGGTGTGGCCGGGCGAGAGGCCTGCAGGCTCCGCCCAGTTACCTTTAGTGGAGGCTGAGCTGGATGGTCGCTTGAGCCCGCTCAGGCCCTGGAGAGGGATGTCACCACCTTCCAGGACGCTTTTATAAATCTGCCTCTCATTCTCCAAGCTAGCGAGATCCCCGGGAGCCCCATCTGATTCCCTCTTCACTGCGTGGAAGTTGGAAGAATATATACTAAGAACAATGTAATTTTAGAAGAGAAGAGAAGAGAAAAACATTTAAAATTGGAATTAGTATTTTTAACATTTTTCTAAAAAGCACATTACAAGCTGAGGGCAAGAAATACACTTTCTGGCACCCTAATCAACCACCATCCTTTCTAAAGAGCATTCTCATTTAAACATAGCGTTCCTACAGACCAGACAGGCCCATGGGGGAAGCCGAATGCTCAGCAGTTGTGTCCAAACAGCAGAGTGCTCTGCGATGACGGCATCTGTGCTCTAAAAGAGTGACTCTGAGAAACACTGCTAGGGAGGAAGGGTGGGGGGAGGACAGGAGGGAGCCCAGGAAGATGGAGGGGTGCAGGCTGAAGGGTACTAGGGCCCGGGGCTGCACGCAACATGGGGCAGGTCAGTGGAGTCTCTGATGTGTTACCAGCCAGAGTTGGTGGCTTCAAGCTCACTACTTGGGTTATTTTTCCAGGTTATTCTTCAAAAGCATTAAAACAAACGATGATAGGACAAGGCCCAGCTGTCCTGGGGCTGCAGGAAAATCAGCCACCAAGTGAAAGTGGAACCTGACATTCTGTATTTGCCAGACACATTTTGTCCCTACTTCTTTCAAAATTTGTATTCAGAACCTTATGACATGTAAGTATAAGCTACTGCTCATTTATATAGCCTTCATTTACTGTTATCTTGCTGAAATTCTAGGTATTTTTGCAAGTTACCACAAATCCTTTTTGGAATGAGGTGGAGCGCAGAAAAAATTATGAGCACTTACTCATCCCTCCTTCCCCTAATCCGTTTTTAATGCCCTCACTCACTGACGCCAGTAACACGTGGAGACACACACACACATACTCTATCTCACTCTCATCAGTGGAAGACCCCTTTCTCACAAAGTACTCAGGCTTCCTCTAGACTGATTTTCAAACCTACTGAATAAACCTAACTTCAGTTTACTGGTAACAATATGGATTTCAGCTCTGAAAATGTAAGCAGCCTAACAGGATTTCTCCATCCCAATATTTTATTATGAATATTGTTGAATATACAGAAAAGCTTAAGTATTATAATAGCGAACACCCATATGTCCCTCCCCGATTCTACAAGGAACACTGGGCTGCATTTGCTTTATTACACATCTACCCATCTCCTTCCCTCTACCTATCCATCAGTGATGGTATTATTTCTACATTTTATGCAGCCTCTGGGTCCCCAGGGTCACAGACGATGACAACAATAACAACTCTCCACAATTTGGTAAGATGGCCTTTGTGGCAGGTACTGTGCTAAGTGCTTGATGATCATTCTCTTTAATCTTCACAAACAATGTATTTTTTTCATTTTCAGAATTGGAAATGAGGCACTGAGAGGTTGGGCACTTGTCCAAGCAGGGAGTTAGTGGCATGGCAGGGCTAGAACTCAAGCCATTTCATCAGGCGCCACACAGATAATATTCTCAGCTACCGCTTTGTGTGGACTGTTTCTCTAGGACCTGAAGGAGGTAATGCCTCCCAAGAACGCAGGCTTGCATACCACAGGATGCTCAAACTCCACCATGGCTGGGTGTCACCTGCCATGAAGGTACCACAGGGTCACGTGGTGTCAGAAACTCTGTGGCAAGACAGGCAGGTCCCACCTTGAATAGTTAAGTTCCCTGGACAATACCCCTGCTTCTAGCACAGGTGACACCCCTCCCAGTCTTGGCCACTCCTGGGCCTTTATCTTTTGCCCACCACCGGCTTTCAGTGCGTTATGTGCTCTACTTCAGGGGACTATCCAAGGGGTCAGTGTTGTGCCAGGAACCTCCTCAATCTCTCTGGCCTTGGTCAGGGGATCCAATACTTTTCCCCTTTCAGAAGAACATCACAGGGAATCTAGAGGGTTGGAGGACCCTGAAAGGTAACTGGCAAGGTTGTGTGGCACTATGTCAATTTAAGTAAATGTAAGCTCACCACAACTGGCTTTACCTTTGAAATTTCATAATTAAAAATAAATCTGCACCTTTTCTAAATATCCCTTTCACAATCCATCCTCTCCTTTTGGGTTGCATTTTCTGGTTTTGCCCTTCAGTTTAACCCTGTGTTTCTCCTTTTTTGTACAACACCGACTGCAAAACAACTCATGCACAGATGTCCTCTAGCCTTGGCAGCCGACAGCTGTGATGACAGAGGTCTGCCCTGCTCGGCTCTGGGGAGCAGCTCTGGCAGTGGCCTCCACCCTGCTGTCCTGTTTGCCTCAGCTTCAATCAGAGCACCCCACTCCGTCTTCCTTGGCTCCTTCTGACCCTCAACCATGACCAGCGTGCCTGCACTTATACCTTCTCTACCTCACCAGCTGTCAGACCTCACCTCACCCACAGCCACTTCACCACTGGCTGTATTCCACCCATTATCGCCATTTCTTCCTGCTTCCCACCAGAACGACAAACCAGCACTCCGGAAACCTCTCAGAATGGATGTGCTGTAGCCAATTGTTTTCTTTCTGATACCAAAGCCACATGTTTTTTCCAGATGTATATATGACATGCTTGCGGCTGAGGCCCTCCTTAGTTAAAAACAGTATCTGAAAGCTCTGGAACAATGGTTTCAAATGTCACCTCTCCATCCAATCTCCTAATGCTGGAAAGACAGACCTCATTTGTCCCACTGTACCAAAGGGGAAACTGAGGCTCAGAGTTGAGAAGGCATTTGTGGAAGGTCAGAGTCATTGGGTCTTTGTTGTGTTCCAATAGGTCAGAAAGGATGAGAAAAGCGGGTGGGCTGACTGAGAAAGGCCCAGTCAGCCTTGACAGCTACCAAGGACTTGACAAAACAAGCCAAGTTCAGAAGCTCAGCTCTCAGCAGCCTGGGCTGAGCCAGTTTTCAGTTCAGAAGAGCAAGCCAGGAGACAGTGTGGGAATGTGCCCTCTGGCTAAGATGCAGAGCTGGCTGCTAAGATTCAAGGGGATTCAACCAACACACACTCACTGGAAGAATAAAGAGAGAACTGAACAAGCATTTCAGGGCCAACTGTTTCCAGTTGCGCCAACTGCAGGCGGCTCTGGAGGAGGCGGGCGGGGTCCTGGCAGGGTGTGATTCCAGCCCAACTTCAAGGTGTGATCAGCTGAGGCAAAGCTGCCCTGTTGAAAAACTCAGAAACAATCTGTTTCTCTCAACCTCCGTTTCTTTCATCTGCAAAACTAATAGGCATGAAGAGACTGTGCAAGAAACTTACCTTCAAATCTGTTATTTGTATAGACTTTGTTTTGAGCTCCTGACACATACATTCATTCAACTGCCTTCTAGCTATGTCCACCAGGACGCTCCTCAGGCATCTTAAACCCAATGTGTCCCAAACCAAACCCAGCTCTGTTCCTCCATCTCCCATCATCACCCAAGCCAGAAAGCCCAGGGAATTCAACACCCTTCTCCCTGTCCTGCTCCCCAAACCTGACCAGTCACCATGCCCTGCTTACTTCCTGTCCTTGACAGAGCTCTGGGCAATCCCATCCTGCTCCACCTCCCCAGCCACCGCATCCCCACTGCCCCCCACTATGCCTGTGCAGCAAGCCCACCACCACTCCGCCAGTCTGTGGCCCTGACTCCCTCCCCTCGTCTTTGTGAATCACTGCTAATGACATTTCTAGAAAAGATCTCAATGTTATTCCGCTGCTCCTTTTATTCATTCAACAAATATTTACTGAGCACCTACTAACTGCCAATCACTCTCTGAGGTGGAGATTCTTCAAGGAACAAAACAATTCCAGCCTCGTAGAATTCACTGTTCAACACCAATTGGTTTTTTTCAGGAAGAGAAAAATGTAACTTTTTAACTGTAGGTTTTTGGGAGGGACTCTAGACAATCTCGGGAGGGCAGTTTTATCTTACAGCCTTTGTAATCAAAATTTTTATTTTTTATAATGTTAACGTTACTTACTTTTTATTTGCTTCTCTTCTATAAAGCTGTCCTTCCCTCTCCCACAAAACAGAGATGCTCATTCCCTGGCGGGTCCTGTCACTGTGTTCACAACACTGGATTCTGTTTGTTATTTACAGGTCTGTCACTCCATTACACTCTGAGCCACTTAAGGGCAGGCAGTTTATTTTATTAATTTTTGCATGCCTGGTGCCTAGCACTGCTGTTCAATAAGTATTAGTGGAATAAATAATTCTATAAAATTAAATGATTACATACACAGAGGTTTCTGGCAGATTTTTAAGGCCCAGGAGAGTCTCTGATGTTTCATATAGTTCTTTGGGTAAAGATTTGTATTTGGATCTTAAGTCACATAGAGGGAAAAAAGTTTTCTTTAGCAAAGAGCAGCTTGTTCTTGAGTGCCACCTTCTGGCCAAATAGAGTAAAGCTCTTTAGGCAAAGAATATTACTGCTCATCAATGCTGAAATGCTAAGCACTGATGAAAATGCGTAGTTTACACTGATTTATAGATCTGATAACTCTAGGGAAATACAATACAAAATTGGACATACTCTGATCACAAATACAAGAAATATTGTTTTTGAAAGGAATCACTGGTAGTTGTACTAGGCTATTGGGACTACGGGTGAATTTCCTTGTTTCCAGATTCTTTTAGTATTGTAATATGTAATCATAGTAATAAAATTCTAAACTGAAGTCTGTCCAAAATATGAAAGTGGATTTAAAACAACACCATCACTTCTCCAGTGACCACATTTTCTGACCCTGAGCCATCTGTGACTCCTCTCTATTCAGTCCTTGGGTTAAAATGCAAGTCTTGCCAATGTTTAGCACATCATTCCCACCCACCCAGTGAAAAGGGTCAGGTTCAGCCTGCAGGCTGCCTGCCTTGGTGCTAAATGAGATGGAGTCTAGTGAATTAAGCCTTACAGATGCATTTGTTTATCCAGTAAACATTTATCATGTGCTTTCCTATGTGTCAGGTACTGCACTAAGGCTGGCTCCTGGCTGATTCCAAACTCAGGAAAACCTTGCTTATTTGAACAAACTGGGAGAAAACCAAATCTGACTTACTGAAAAATCCCCAAGTG